TATCAAAGTCTAATTTCTGTAAGAAAATATTGTGATATTTTACTCAATTAAAATTGCAAAAAAAATAACATATAATTAGTTTAGTATTATTTAGTCACAAATATTATTCGTATATTACTTAATAATTAATTTTAAATACTTAATCTTAGTTTATTTATTATTCAATTACAAATAACAATTAGCATTTTGAGCACAATTTAAGACTTGTACAAAAAAATTTAATTTATATTTCAATGCTATAAAAACAAATAATAATGCTTTCAGATAATTAGTATAACTTTTTGGTAATCTAATTTGTATTTAGATAAAAAGATTACTTGTTCATCAGGTAATGAGGTACTAATACATGGCCACCAGCCATAACTTGTACGCTGCTGAAAAAGTGAAAATCTGCCAACTCTTCCCGGTACATAAGGCTAAAATAAATTTATATAAATTGTTATTTGTTATTGTACTCATATTTATAATTTATTCTTAGCGTGAATATCTAATAGAATTTAAAATTATTATTCATAATAATAGAATTTAAAATGCCAAATATTAAAAGCAAAAATATAAAAATAAAAAACAATATTAATTAAAAAGTCTAAAAAGTTCTGATTAATAATTAATATTAATTAAAATAGTCTAAAGCGTGAATTAGTTCAAACCGGAGCTCTTGGCAGGGGTTGAGTATTTTTTTTTGGTGCATTCTTTTTTGCACAAATATTCATGCAATTACCACAACGTCTATGTCTGCTAGCTGCATAATCAACATTATACATTTCATCTGCGTCCATCTGAGCTTCTGAATTATATAATTTTAAATGTTATAAAAGTATTTTTTACGTAGCCAATGAAAAAAAAGTAACAGTAATTATATATCAGTGATAAATAGTATTACAGTAAACAATATTAATAGTTAGAACAATCAAGGCAGAAAGTAAATTAACTTCTAAGTTTAATAAGCAGAAACAAAAATACAAAGTTTTCATATAAATTGATTGTTAACAATGACAATAATAACCACGTATTAATAAAAATATAAATGATATTATTAATATGACTAATGATAAATAGATAAACAATATTAACAATATAGTGGTGATGTTTATCAATGATATAATAGTTAATGATATTGATGTTATATACGGTAATAACGATATATTCATGATTTATATTAGAATATCGTAGTAATTATTTTGATTGAAGTAATAAGTGCGTGAATAATTAATGTGTAAAAGCTTTATTTCTGCATTATATTCTGTTTTTTTTTTTTAAATTCATTACTAAAACATGCAAAAAATATCAAAAAATATTTCCAAAAAATTTTATTACTTCACAGTAATTTTTTTTTATTAAACACATTTTAATAACGATAAAAAATACTATAATATATTTAATAACGATAATTGATGCATACAAATAATTAATTTTTTAAATATTTTTATGCATAAATTATTGATTACCATCAAAGGAGAGCAAATCCAATGCAAGTTGGCCAATATAGCTATCCCTCCCAAATTTATTATTATCCCAAATTTGGACAAACAATATTGGATCTACCAGTGATAATGACTTCTTACTGAAACTTTTTAACATGAAATTAATATCAAAAAAATTTTAATATTTAATTAAAAATTAAATTGGCAAATCATAAGAAGAAAAAATTTGATTAATGCATTAAAAATACGAATTGTTCAGAAAAAATAAATAAACACCTAAAAAGACGCTTTTTTTTATAAACAGCAATTTTTTTCTCCCAAATATCAAAATCAAAATTAAGCACAAAACGCCAATTGAATGAGCCGTAACCATCAAGACTACGGTAGTGGACATCAGTTTTTTCTTCCTTATCACTTCCATTTAAAAATACTTTTATATAAATATCAGCTGCCTAAAATAATCATTCATAATAATGATCAACCTTTGACCTTTTTATATTTGAATAAATGTTAATAATAATTTATTTATATAACAAATTAGGCAAAAACTAATTAAATGAATGAGCATTACTTTTTCCTTTCTAAATACAAATAAGAAATATTAATGAAAACTCTTAACAGGTTTTCCCATAGTTCTTTTAGCAAGAATAACATTTCGTACGCTCCATACTGCTACACGAAGTTGAAACTTGCGTGGTCGACGCGGTGAAATATTAAGTGGTGGAGGAATTAATCCAATTGAATTTGGAAATAAATCAATAAACATTTCTAATTGACCACATTCACTGTTGGGATTTATAGCACTGTATAATGGACGAGTTTCTACGTGTTCTGGTACTAAATTCATCTAAATTTTCACGTTTTTCATTAATTAGTACACGTATTCATGCATTAAATAATTATTTTTACTTATTAATCTTTGAAAAATTATTAAAATTAAGAGAAAAAATGTACTTTTGTTAAAATATATAATGCTACTCGTTGTAAAGGTCGCCCTAAAATTTCAGAACGTTTTGGAGGTATTTTTTCAATATCACTAAGCCAGATTGATACTCCAGCAATCATAATTCCAATATCATTTTCTTTAGTTAAAATTTCTGGAGCTGGATAATTCATCTTTATACAGTATCTAAAATGATAACTTGGAATAATAATTATGGAAACATTAGAAATACATTATTCCATGTCAAGAAATCAAAAATCATCTAAATAATTTATTTAGATACTGTGACTTTAAATATTTTTATATCAAATTTATTAATTCATTTATTCAAAATTAATTATTTGGAACTCATTTTAAACTGATTAATTCATCACTGGAACAATTAATTATTTCAATAAATCACCCAGATTTTTTTATGTCTTAGAATATATTTTATATAGCAATACAGTAATATTTTTGATAAATAGAGCAATAATTAAAAAATAACTTAGTAATATGAATAAGTTTGAATATACTGTAATAAATTTACAGTAGCGATATTTGCAATTTTTAATAGCAGAGAAAAATCAATTCTATTCTCCTTACTGTATAATATCACGAAATTATTTTGATTTTACTGCTGCATAATATTGAGGAGTTGATAGCATTTTTTCACTTCAATATAATAATAATTGCTGTAATTGAATATTGTTTAAATATAGACAATTAATACACTCAACTGACAGTGGACTGAAGCACAGCGATTGATTCATTCACCATACCGTATGTCAACAAATTTTGAATTAGAAAATTGGTTAAATATAACCTAGGGAACACATTATAAAGTAAAGATGAGATAAATTACTGTAGCCGAAATCTACCAGCAGATTCTGAACTGTTGGTTTGTCGCCTATAGTACTTTAATAATTTTATCGTATTTTGTACGGAATTTTTAAAACGATCATTTATCATAATAATTCATTATCGAATATTATGCGTGAATAAATGTTAATAATTAGCAAAAAACGTTTTAACATTTGCCATATTAAAACAAAAACTGCAAAAGTAGTAAACACTACAGTGCTCTCTTAAAATTTCACTACAAGCATTTAAAAATACTGTATGGCCTACTCTAATAATACTGTCAGTATAATGGAAAATATTTACTACAAAAGTAAAAGATTTATACCTAAGTTATTCAATATTGAATTTGTGTAAAAAAATGAATTCTTCTTCAAATTTATAGTAAATACGAATAGAGAAATTAAATCTAAATCAGTAAGTAACAAAGACAATTAACTGAAAAAACAATAACAGATATAAGGAATGCAATACCTTTTAAGTATGCTTAGAGGTGTTAATTGATCACGCCAAACAAGTGGTCCACGAACTGTATACTGCTGTGGTAAGCCTACCGTAGCCCGGAATTGTGTTAAAAGACGATTTTCTAAATCAATCGTAGTATATCCGATTTCGTTATCTACAAAAGTTGATGATAATTGACTGCATGAAAATGTTATTAAAAATAGTAATAGTGTAAAGAATTTTAATTATATTATTTAGAACTAAATCAAAAGATAAATTGCTGCATTTATCTATTCATTTGGAATTAAGGTCTGCTTTATTTTCAGTTGATACTTTATAATATTGAAATTTTAGTACTGTAGAAATGAAATATTAGTACTGTAGAAATGAAATTTTATCGCGTTATTTTAATATGGAACCTGATATTTATTAACATAAAATTTTTAAAAGAGATTGATTTAAAAAAACTGTTAATATAATGTTTGAAATAGTACTTACTTAATTCC